TCTCACTGAATAGGAATGAAGTTGTAGGCCCACTGTGCTCCTAGCTTTTTTTCCTCATTTAGGTGCCTAAAGGTAAGTGGGATTAATTTGTGGTTTGGGGCATAAGCTGTTTAGAATGCTGCTCTGGAATGAGCTATAATATGCTCAGTAACCAATTTTTCATGAGACCTTTTTCAAAAGGCTTTTACAAGTCAAAAAGCTACGATCAAGAACAAGATTTCAGAGCTTATAACACAGATTTTAAAACAAACTTGCCTGCTGGACCCTCAGAGCCTGATTCTTGGCTGGCGGGTCTATGCTTAGTGCCAGGCTGGCAGAGACTGGCCTCCACTTCTTCACACTTCCCAGCCCCTGCATTTTGTTTAACCAAAACACATCTGACTGCAGACAGGCCAGGAGAAGAAGGAAGTGGACTGCACATGTTTTTTGGATCTTTGCTACATTCATTTCAGCCTCAGCTATCAGAGCAACCTCAGACTGCTTTATGTTATGTTCTGCTTCCTATTGTTCTTGACCGCTGTTTTTGTCAGTGTCTTATAGCAGGTTGACCACAAAACCATTCTACCAGCACTGCACTGCATAGAGAGCCTCAATTTTCTTGCACTCCACACATGATTCTGCCTCATCCCTGTCATATTTAGCATCTATGATGGATCTATTAGAGATTAGATATTATAGGACTTTGTCACTGACACGTATGGCGAGCACATTAACTTCAAAGTATACAAATTTTGGGGGACATTTATGTGCTGGGCTCTGAACTGAGGAACAGAGAGATTTCCCATCCTGGTAACATTTGGCATAAGGTAAGGACAAATGGCTTCAAGCAGTAACCTCAAGGACGTCTACTGAGTTAAATATACTGAGAGCATCAATAGGAGTTTTTAATCATGGGCTCAAAACAGATAAGAAATATTATGAAACCAGAATGGTCCTGCCAGGTAAGGAGTGTTTTCAAGGGATTGTTTCCATCTAGGGCAGCAATTAATGAGACTTACTAAATCTAAGAATTGGGCCTTATATTTTAAGCTAACTTCAGACTAGTTCTACCCTAGTATTTTTCTGCAGTACTACAAATGGAGCTAGAACAGATCCAAAAGGAGCTATTGTGTTATTTAGCCCTGAGTCTGTCCAGCCGGCTCAGTAATAAATTCAGGACCCATATCACAGTTGATACTAGCTTCTCTGCTGCCACGGGAGGAAAGCAGAAAGTGTAAAGTTGGGAGAATGTAAAAAATGCCAACACTTGCAAAATCCTATAACAATTTGCACACAAGTTATTTGGTCTTGCAAATAGTCACATTGTCCATAATTGGCCGCTGTTCCTGAGTAAAGTCTAAGGTCAAAGGGTTTCCAGGGCCAGATTTGCAGCAGTTTTGACAATGTTTATTTTCTGGGGTTTATTCTTGTTGTTCTGGATGATTTCTTTGCAAAAAGAAAAAAAAGTAGCTTTTCTTTGCATGTCACGAGAGATTTCTGAAAATTATTTGAAGTGCTTATTTATTCTTTAAAACAGAAATACCTCGTGAATATAGGTACTGGTATTTTTAATTTTCAGCTAAAAATACATCTGTCTTCTTTTGAGTACAGGATAGTCTGAGGTGGATTTGAACTTGAAAAAAAGCATCTCCATTACAGCAATTCTGTATATGATTTTTATCATTGTTGATTTATTTGGGTTTTAATTTATTTCCTTTATTTAATTATTATAGCAGACTACTTTAGAGAGAAAGGTAGCTGAATGAGCAGAAAACTTGAAATTCCATCAATTTCAGAAGGACTGCTCACGAGGAAATAAAGCATAGAAGTTTGAAACATTATCCAGTTTAAGCAAGAAACTACTGCTTTACAACATTCCAACTGCTGAATTTCCTTCTGTTTTTTCAAGAACAATTGAGGGCTCACTGCTCATAAGAGGATCACCATCTATCATCTAAGTTTCTTAACTGAATTGAAAGTAATGTCTTCAAGATTTGGTTTAAGATGCTTTGCTTAATCTTTTTTATGTTGTCTTTTAGCCTGTTTGCAGATAAGAAAATCATTATTCTCCCTAAGCAAAGTAACTTCTCTCATAGCATTTCAGCTGTGCATAACATCACATACCCAAGGGACGAAGGAAATTGTTACATTAATAAATTTTCAGGTTGTCCTGTACATCTCTGAATATTACAAATAAAACACATTTTTAACATGTCGATTTGCATTGTCATTGACTGCTGCAGAAAGATATTTTAGACTGTAGTGGATTGCAAAGTTCTGGACGGAGGGACAACATCACTACCAGGCTTGAATACTACTGTGTATACTATAAGACATCAAAGAATCCACATTTGAGTGAACCCATTACTGTACAGGGGACAGCTGAGGCTCTACCTCATCATTAGGTGAAGAACAGTCTCCAGAAGACCAGGCTCTGTGATCTTTTCATCTGAAGAAACAAATAAATTACTATCTCTTGGAGTCACATGAGAACAAAAGATTTTTTAGCTATATTTGATTCTAAATTAGTTTAGTGTCAAAGAAGAGTTAAAAAGCCTGAATCCAAAAATCTCAAAATCCATAGGAAAAAAGTCCACAGAAGAATTTGCACACATGGGCAGACATATGATCTATAATTTTTAAATACCCTGAAGTGTCAGTTTTATTCCCTCACAACTCAAGAGCAGGTGACTAGGCCACTGAGAAAGGCATGATGTGATCCTTCTCTTTCTGGGGGAAACAGCAAAGCTCAGCAAAGAGGTGCAATCAGGCAGCTAAAACATCGTGTAGAAATGCACCAGGCTGATGGACATGAACCAGTAAATTTTGATCGCTGCTGCCTTATGTGAACAAGAGCACAATAAAGCCTCCTCAGGTGGATATATAGCATAAGGACTGTCACAGCTCACATGCCCTTAATGCAATTTAAGTAAATCCGGCCTACGCTACTCAGAGTTCAGAAATCAAATCATCAGTTCAGTGCTCTGCCCAAGAACACACAAATACGCGCACATCCAGCGGATCGGCACAGTAAAGGCATTAGACCAAACCTCCTTGTGTGCTGGGGGGAGCGGCAGATCCCCACCTCAATGCCGAAGGGGAAAGTAGGTTTCTGTCTCCATCTGTGGAATAAACCAGGTCCATGGGTAGAAATAATGGTGAGATGTACTAATATTTCTCACTCTGCTCATGTCTGTTCCTCCAAAGTAAAACACAACTTTGTCCCGTTCCACCCCTGACTTGCTGGGGAGTAGCCGATTGCAAGGGCAGAGCTGGGAGAGGCGGCACTGGGATCAGAGCTGTTCCAGAGGCCAGGTTGGGTTCCTTCCTGGTGCAGAGAACATCGTCCCTTCTTTACGGGAAAAAGGTAAGTCACAACTTGCACTCGGGAACCAGGTAACTTCTTTAAATTGTTGGTTTGGGCCACTGCTAGCAGATCTCACAGTTTGAAGTTGTTGCACTTGGCTGGAAACTTAGTTTTCGATTCCTGCATTTTTCTGTGCATTTGAAAGCAATGTAGGCGTTCAGATCCTCACTATACTTTTTTGGGGGGGCAAAAAGTATAGCAAAAATCTCTAGCAACAAAGACAAGCATTTATAAAAATGCAGGTTAGTGGACTGTGTTGGAAGAGGGGGAAAAGCTTCTTTGGCATCTTATTTTTAATTGACTAAATTTGGACAGATTAAGAGAGAGAAGCATCTGTTGTGGGGTGGTATCTGGTGGGCTTCCCATTAAATTTTTGTGCTAATACAGAAACATTTTGTGGGACTGGATTACATGGTTCAGCTGAGAAAAACAATAGACAGCCAGCCTCTGAAAGAAAAGCCTTTATGTTACATTTTATACAAAGAATTGGAAGTGTTTATTCACCATAAAATAGCCATAGAGCACCACCCCGTGGGGATTTACATTGCTGAGGTTTCAAGGTGTTTATCATTCTGCATTTGCAGTCTCACCACAAATAATTAAGCATGCACTTATCTTTTCCTGTGCAGATATCATAATGCAAGTGATCTTTAGAGAGGGCATGGAGGTCTATCACACAACGTTATTTACTTGAAGAGGCTCTGGCTTGCAGCCCGCTCTGTGCACATCTTTGGGTGGCAGCCCTATACTGTATTCCGTGTAGTACCAGCTCTCAGGAAGTAATACAGTTATTCCTGTTGTGATTCTCTCTTCTTCTCCTCTTCTTCCACCCAGCACTCAGGGGGCAGAGGGAAGACTGCTCCAGATTTTATTTTGCCAGGTAGGAGGAGGCTTGACATCTCAGCCCATCTCAACAACTGTGGGTGCCAAAAGCAAGGAACCCAGGAACAGTGCCTGAGGAGTTACTTGAAAGCCTCCTGCAGCAGTGGGACCCTCTACCAGAGCAAATCAGGCACACAGGAATCACCTGCTGAGCCAAGGGAAACAGGAATTTTTAGAACCATTTGTTATCTTTCATTTGTGCTAAACCACCACTGTGCCTTTGTGTATCTTCAGGTTGTCATCTGTGGGCTGAATTGTAAAGCGGCACTTACGTGATTTTAGATGTGTCAAATAAAGGCTCTTTCTGCTGAGGGTTTTAAATTCCCATTTGTGTCTACTATTTTAAGGACCTGTGTCCTTTAGTCAGTTGAACGCCGGAGCCCTAATCATGCAGGAAGTGGAGAGCAAAGGATGTTATTTTCATTTGTGTGTTACATTTTACACTTAAGGTGGGTGGGTGGTCAGCGCTGCTGGATCCACACACAGCTCTGCGCAGGGTTAAAGCCTATGACTTGATGCAAGGTGATCTTCATAGTTTGTCAAATGGCTTTTGCAACGATATGTTTTGTCCCAATGTTAATGTATTTCATTGCATCATAACTCTTCAGCTTTCTCTGGCAGCACTCCTCTCTTCTACCTTCAAACTGCGTCACAGTTTGCATTGCCTGTCTGCAGAGTGGAGTTTGTGGAGCTGTGGTTACTAATTACTGAGATCTTCCAGCTGCACGTGAGCATGCCTGCATTTGTGTCGGGTTTTTTTTTTTCAGAGAAAATGTTGGCAGCCTATTTTGATTGTCCAGGAGGCCCAGAAAATCTCTATGTGAAAGAAGTGATGAAACCACATCCAGGAGAAGGAGAGGTTCTTGTGAAGGTCTCTGCCAGCGCTCTGAATAGGGCTGATTTACTCCAGGTAAAGTGTATGTTTAATCCGTGTATGTTAAGTAGATTACGCACCTGAAAAGGACACCAATTTTTAAAAAACCTAACTGAAGTCTGGACGAATCTGAAGAGTTAAAAGAGAATGGGCCTAGTGAGCATTTGGAAGGGAGAGTTCATAGGGCTGAAAGAAGTGATGTCTGTTGATTCAGCAGATAAATGTTTTTATCTGGATCACTGCAATGCTGGGGTGGCATGGAAAGGCAGCTGCCTTTCAAGAAAAGATGTAAAACCAAAGCTCTTTCTAAATGCTTAGACCATTCTCTGGGCATTTGAGATGAACATGAAATGTTCCATTGGCTCAGTTCCAGAGGGGGAAAATTCAAATTGTTAAGTCTGAGCTGCTTTAATTTGACCTGAAAGCCATGCTCTGCAACTGAAGACCATAATACCCCCCCAGCATGGATTGGCCTGGGCAAAGGGGACTCCCAACAAATTGAATTTGCAGAGAGACTTTTAAGAATAAAACATACTTAGGGAACTAGAAGCGTTACCAGAGGATAGAAGATCCTCAAATTACTGGAACATTTGCACAGCGCAAAATCAGGATTAAATAAATAGGAATTAAGGTTGGAGGCATGTGAACAAAATATTGCAGGTTATTACACTGATTGATGTGTGGCTTTTCCCTTCCTGCCCTCTCTTTTCTTTTGTTTTAGAGGAGAGGGAAGTACCCTCCCCCCAAAGGAGCAAGTGATATTTTAGGCTTAGAAGCAGCTGGGAGCGTGACTGGGCTCGGACCTGGCTGCAAAGGCCGGTGGAAGATTGGCGATGCAGTGATGGCTCTGCTCTCCGGAGGTGGCCAGGCAGAATACGTTACAGTACCTGAAGGCTACCTGATGCCAATTCCCAATAATATGACTTTTATTGAGGCTGCAGCCATTCCCGAAGCCTGGTTAACAGCCTTTCAGCTGCTGCATTTTGTAGGTGAGAAGTGTATTTGCAAATCTATCCCACCAAAACAGCTCATCTTTGTAACTTTCTGTTACAAAGTCCTCTCTTTGTTGCCTCTATCTGAATGCTGTTTGCCTCCAAAGAGCCTTTTCTCTGTCGCTCCGTTCGCATGGGTCAGAATCCAGTATGCCAGACCCAAATCCTGAAATCTTGACCACATCTCCCCAGTCACAACTTATTCTGCTGGTTGCGTATTTACAAGGAAGGATATGGAAAGATGGTCAGTTTTTCTTTTCGTCTGTATTTCTCAGCTTGAATGGCAATTTCCATTAGCCTAAACCCTGAAATAACGTACATGTTCCTCAAAAAACTGAAAAAACATCCTACTTCTAAAGATTTGACTACCCTGCAAACATGATCACATCATCAACTTTCTCACTAATTGCCTGTGGATCCACAGTAGGTAGCATCTTCTCGTGCCTTGTTTCACACAGACATTAATTGTAGGTAAAATCCCCTCTGAGCTGATTTAAAACAGGTGTAAGTTCACTCTTGATTTTGAAAATGTGGTACAGAGGCACTAACAATAACACTTCCCAGGGTTTTCCTCAGTTGATAAATACCCTTCTTCCCTCCTCAGCATTAGCATCTAAAAGGTCCACTAAAGAACAGGAGTTAGAAACACGTAACTTTCCTCCATACCTGAAATGCAGACTTGCTTTGAGCATTGTTGCTTCCTGGGAGTCTGTGGTCAATTAGGACTATGTGGTGCCTCACTTCCACTAGCAATCAGTGGAACACACATGAATGCGTTAAGGCAACTGTTAGATGGTAAAATGATAGGTAGAACTGGTCCTTAATGTTAGCCAGTGCTTCTGGCATTTCTCCATTTTTGAGTGCATGATTTCTCAGTATTAACATCCTCCAAGTGTGTTTTCTGTTGGCAGTGGACGGTCCTGGTATAAAAAGGCTGACTGCACTCACCTAAGCAGCTTGGTCATAGATGCCCAGAACTGGAGAGGGCCAAGCTAAAGTCATTCCACTGAATTTGGTAGAATGGGGTCGTGTCAGTACACTGCGAGCTGTGTTAGTTCTGGATTTGTTTCTTTTATGAAGGATATGAAAATGTAAACAAAGCCCACTGAAGGGCACCTCTATCAGCTTCCTCTTCAGTATTTTCCATCCTGATCATGTTTTAATCCAAAGGTGATGTCATTTCCCTTACGTCCTCCTTCAGGTAAAGTACAGAAGGGCGAGACAGTGCTGATCCACGCTGGAGCTAGTGGGGTTGGTATGGCAGCCATTCAGCTGGTGAGACTGGCAAAAGCTGTTCCCATTGTGACAGCAGGAACTCAAGAGAAACTGAAAGCAACAGCAAATGCCGGAGCAGCTGCAGGGTTCAACTACAAGAATGAGGATTTTAGTGAAAAGGCCTTGGCATTCACCCAAGGTAAGAACCTGTGTGAAAGACGCTGTTACAGTTGAGGATGAATGTGTACCTCCTAAAGTATACGCACATACACTCAATTTCAAGTGTCACTTTTGTTGGTGAGGGAGCAGACAGCAATGGCCCTGTTAGCACAACCTAACATCCTGTTCAGCCCAAGAATCTATCCTTCTGTACTTGGATTGTACTCCATTTTCTGCATGGACACTCTTTGGCTTTGTGCTCATTTGGGGCATAAATATTGTGTCTGTGTTCTTGTTGCATCCACAAGGAAATCAAAACCTTGTGACCAAATCCTTGCACTTGTCTTTGTAAATGTTTGAATAGGGGAACAAAACTTAGTTCCCTTACTGTTAGAAAAAGTTAGCTTTTCTAAGCATTCAGGGTTGTTTATGACAGTCTGCATCTAGAGATCTAGAAGGATTCTTTTTTTTTTGTGCCCAATTCTAGAATTCCTTAGAAATCATTGTGCCAATTCCTAATTTCAGTAGAAAGTTTTAAATAAGAATTGCAGGATTGATGCTGTACTTACAAAGAACAAGGTTTTAGTTTTTCCTGAAATTATCCTACCTTTAATGCAGCTCAACTACATTGCTGAAATATTTTCTGCTTCTCCTTGAGGTTCTGGAGTAGATGTTATTTTAGACTGTGTGGGTGGCTCATACTGGGAGAAGAATCTCAACTGTCTGAGTACTGATGGCCGGTGGATTATTTATGGACTACTGGGTGGAGGTGAAGTACATGGAGATTTGCTTGCAAGGCTGCTTTCCAAAAGAGGGAGCATCTATACAAGTCTATTAAGATCACGAGACAAGGAGGCAAGTAATGGCTATCAACACTGTATACAGTTTGATCTTAAAATCGATGATAGTTTTGAGAGCTTTCTTTTGATACCCGTGTTAAAGCAGAATCTAATGTATTATTACCAAAAAAGCACCACCTTGAACTGTTATTACATACTTTAGAAAACATTGCAAAATTAAGTTACAATTTTCCTTTTCTATTTTTATCAAATTACTCCCTTTACAGCTATTGAATCAGAGGAATGATACCCAGGACTTCTTAATGTGCTTCACGAGTACTATAATATAAAGATTTGGCCTAAGAAAAAGCAAAAACTCAAGTGATCAGGCAACTTAATCAAGTCGGGGCGGGGGGAAGGGAAAGACCTCAGTTAGATCATTTTTCAAAGTAGAAACTGAGGCCATTTGGATGCCCAGAAATTACCAAGAGACAATCACTTTATGTGGAAAATTCTCAGATACTACAGTAAAAGACAGCAGTGTAGAGCCCTAGAATAGATTCTGTCCATGGTGTAATACGTAATAGTCTCAAGAATTTTATCAGTTTGAGTTTAAATGGTTCTGCACTGAGCTTATACCACTTGTTTTGGAGATTCTAATTCAATTAAAATACAGTTAATCGAGAAGTTTTCTTACGCCTGTCATTTACACCTGTCAGATGTTTATATGTCCATCTCACTGTGAGCATGTCAGAAAGAGCCTCCCTGAGAACTGTGCACATTTTGTACACTGTGCTTAGAGATACCCCTGTGAACGACATGATTTGAAATAATCTTCTAAATGCTTTCATTTTTTCTTCAGTATAAGGAGCAGCTGGTGGGAGCCTTCACAGAAAATGTGCTGCCGTACTTTTCTGGAGGAACCTCCCCTCATCTCCAACCACTTATTGACAGCGTTTACCCTCTGCACGAGATTGCAGAGGCACACAGGATTATGGAAGAAAACAAGAATATTGGCAAAATTGTCATCGAAATGCCTGCTTCATCTTAAAGAAAGGCCTCCTTGCTGCAGTTGCTTCAGGGACAGAACTCTTACAGGTGTTTGACAAGCTGAGAATCTGCCATTCTGCTTCCAAAGCCGCAATGATTTATTGTGGGAGAGTGCCAAAAAGGAGGGGTACAGCAAAGCCTTACAGGACGCGTTTAATAAAAAGGTTGGTGTTGCAGCTCGAGCACCGTGTCTTGAACGTGTAAACACCGGCGAGCGCTCCTCGATGAGGAGAAAACTGCCAGGCACCGACTGCCACTCTCCG